TACATCAATCAATTGGTAATTTTTCTAAATTTAGAAGTAAAATGCTCTAAAGAAAATATAGGTCGGAGCAGAAGGTTTGAAGTAATCAATTTGATTATATATTTGTTTTGGGGGTTTTTTGGGCAGCATTCAACCTATGTTAGAAGTAGAAAGTTTTTTTTTTTTTATTTTTTTCAAAATTTATTAAAAACTTTAAAAATTAATAGAAAGTTTTTTCATTTGACTGCTGAGACAAAAATTTATAAAGGGCAAACCCGTGTGACTGCTGAGACAACAGTTATAATTGGCAAACTAAAGTACATTTAGATATTAATGTAAAATTAATATTTATATAGACTTTTCAATTTTCATATTTCTTTTCTCCTCTTATTTTATTATCCTTAAATCCATTTCTATCCATGCACCTACTTTCATACCTTTCTTATTATATTGACCGTTATAAGTTATTTATTTAGCAGAGCTAAACTCTTCATCCAATTCTACCCACTTTCCAATCTTTTTGCAATTTCCTTCTTAATCATACGATCCACCGCCTCTAAACACACACATATATTTTATACTCATTACATTTTTTTATATACTTAATGGTGCATACATTTGTTGATATTTCTCCTTTCTTTATTCACAATACATATGTCCCATCTACTAACCTTTGTACATTTTTATTATATTCACCAATATAAGTGATTTTTTTCTAATGGTTAAACTTTTCATCCAAATCTACCCACTTTCCAATCTTTTCAAATTCCCTTTTTAATCATATGATCCACCACTACTAAAAAATACACGACATTTAAATATTCATTATCTATTTATTTCTTCTGAATTTGCAAAAAGAACTATATATTTAGAAAAATTGCTTGGTCCATAGGCCAGGATTAATAATCTTTCCAAAAAAAATAAAATTTATTATAAGTTATATTTTATTTAATTAATACCCCAATTAAAAACCAAAACACCAAAAATCGACTTGTTTCATCTATATTTGAACTAAACTATTCATCCAATTCCATCCACTTTTAATTTTTATCTAATTTCCCTCTTAATCATATGATCCCCCACCACTAAAATAAATACTAAAATAAATGAATATTATTTTCCTAATACATATGATAATTTACATTTTTTCTCCATTATATATGAAATGCCATCTACCTACCTTCAAACTATTTTTGTATGATCCAACAAAAAATTCAGATTTACTAAATATAAAAAGTCTTTAAATACTAAATCGCATTTCCATTCTCATCAAAATTTATACATCCAATTTATAATTCTCTCATATATCTATTAAACTTTATAATATCCCATCTTCCTACCTTTGTACCATTAGCATTATATTCACCACGATAGATAACTGGTCTACCATATTCAAAATTTTCATATAATACTCCCCATATCCCAATTTTTTTCTAACAACCCCCTTAATCATATAATCCACCACCTCTAAAATGCACACAAATATGAATATATTTCATGTATTCTATAATATTTACATTTCCCAATAGTCTTCGCAATAAATTGCAAAACATAATATCCAATCTACCTACCTTCTTACAATTCACATCATATTCGACACTATAAGTGACTTATTTATTTTATTGAAATTCTTCATCCAATTCAACCCACTTTCCAATCTTTTTCTAATTTCCTTCTAATTCATATGATCCACCACACTTTTTCGCTATATGAATTCCAACCGCCTTATAAGATATTTATATATTTATATATGTATGCTTTTATTATGCATAATTTCCCAATTACCTTCTTTCATACCATTTATATTATATTCACCCTGATATGTGACTAATTTATAAGTTTCAAACCCTTCATCCAAATCTACCCACTTTCCAATTTTTATCTCATTCCCTTCCTAATCATATTATCCAACGCTTTACAATTATTGTCCTTCATACATAATATCCCATCTACCAACCTTTATACCATTCTTACACCAATATAAGTGACTATCTTCCAATGTTTAAACAATTCATCCACCTCAATCTATTTTCCCTACTTTTAACCATCATTGTTGTAAAGCCCACCACCATTAAATAATTGATAAAATCATTACATTTTCTAACAATCTTGTACAAATTTCCATTTTCCCTTTCTATATCATTTAATATTCTCCAATTGCTGTACATCTATTTAATTATTAATAACTTAACAACAATAAGTTTGGAATAGATCTTTCCATAATCCTTACTTTTTTCCTTCCTTATAGTACCCACCAGCATTCTCTAAAAATTTTTCATCTCAATAGGCTATATATTTGCCATATTTCATTTTGTTCTAATCATTTTAACCATATCAAGATAGATTCTGGATTTGATCTATATTATTAAATATTTCTGGATTCTTGTTGACATCATCATGAATTTATTACCTCTCTATTGTTTGCTTTTTTTTCTAATCTGCATATACTTTTATCACATTATTCAACTTCTTTTTCATTAGTTTATTCCTCAAACTAAATTGCTTATAAACCAGCCAAAGAATTCTCATTTGAAAAATTCATTTTAAAAAAATCCATTATATTTCTATTATTTTGCAATAACTCAAAATTTCACTCAAAAATCATATAAAATATATTCAACAAAATAGATTTTTTTTGCGAATTCACCTTCTTTCATTCTCTATAACCTTTAAATTGCTTCTCAAAAATAGATAGCCAGAATTGTGAAAATTGTAATTACAAACAATTTTGTAAAGTAAACATTAACAGCTTCTCTTATATATATTTAATTTTTTATATAGTAACACTGCTTCTCTTATTTTATAAAGCTTCTCTTACTAATATTAATTATTTTATTTTATGAACTACTTCTGTTACTAATATTGTATTTTTTGTATCATAATATATTGCTTCTCTTATTAATATTAATTATTTTTATTATATGATAATACTAAAGTTGAGCTGGAGTTATTAGGTACTTTTGAAAGATCAATATTTAGGTAGTATCGATTGCTTTTTTGCTTAAATCGAATTATTTAGGCTGTATTTAAAGGGTTTTTGTAGAAATTGCAATATTATTTAGAGGAAAAACTTTTGAAAAGTAGTTTTTTTGTTTCTTTAAGAATTTAGCAAGAGCATATAAGAAAAAGTTAATTTTTATTTCATTATAATTATTTTTTCAATTAATCTTTGTAAAATTAAAAATTTGTTCTAAATATATACGTCTTGTTAATTAATCATATTATTTCTTACAATTCATAATCTATAACTATTTCTTTGAGCCATGCTTTCTAAAAAATTTGGGAAAATATAGATAAATGATCCCTCTCTAAATCCTAATAAAATTGCTTAAATTCATTTGAAAAAGACTTGTAAATTTGTCAATTCTAAATATGTTAGTGAATATTAGCCCTAATGAAATCTTTATATTGTGTTATGAAAACAAAGATTTGATTATTGATAATATTTTTGCTAATTTTTTTAGCATCTTTTCTAATTCTATTATTAGAAAAGATCAAATTTAATTACT